GGTTGGGTTTTTTTTTTTTTTTTTTGCATGACTACAGTAAAAACACAAAATAATGCAGTAAGCACAGAAAAGGCAAACAATAATGAACTGCAGTATTCCTGCCTTTCACATAAGCACACTGCTTGGTTTTTGTGCACTAAAATGGCAAAACAACAACAGTGGAGCAATTTAGTGTAAACTAACTTATGAGAAATATGAAAAAAGGACAGATATTATCTTCACCATCACGTCACATTAAAAATATAGTCTTCATAGGCAAGGGAAGCAAAATTTAATTTAGGAATTTTTTTTTATAATCTTTTGAAATAAAAATTCAAAATTAAAAACAAACTGTTGTGAAAACACTGTCATTGCTTAATATTCATAAATCAATTTTTTTTCATTAGATCATAGAAGTTCTGAGTTCCTTAAAGGTAAAGTTCAGTATGAAAAGAAGTTGCGCAGAACAGACTACTTTAGCGTAACACTTCCATTTAAACATGTCCCAAACTTGATTTGTCTGTATAAAACCAGCTTTCAAAAGGAATTTATCTTAAAATAACAAAAAGGCCTTTTATGAAGAAATAGCTACTTTTATCCATCATGAAACACACCTGCAGCTACTTGCAATGAAACCTCTCCATTGACTGGAATCCTGTCAGCATTAAACACCAGACACACAAAAATTATTAAAAATGCACAGCCCTGAACAAAAAGAGTAAGGATTGAAGAATGCACTGGAGTAAATCTTGAACTCACCTGGAAACTGGGAATCAAAATTTACTTGTGAGACCAACTTTTGAAGGGTCCATTTTCACTACCATGAGTAAATAAACACATTCTTGTCTAATGGATCTGCCAGACAGAAGGGGAATTGATCCTGCTCTTGGGGGACACGGGTTTGAAAGGAGGTAAATACAGGGACAAAAAAAAAAAAAAAAGGACCCTGTGACTCAAGGTTTTTCAATGGATATTGTCAAAAAGTCCTCAAAAAGACGACTATTTCTGATTGATAATTAGGCTAATCAGGAGAAACAGAGGCTCACAAACAAGACTTGGTGATGTTTCATTCTTGCTTTAAGATGTCGTTGATTATTAAAAAGCAGAACTCACAACAAATTTCACACAAAGAATATGACTAGAAAGCAGATGGAAAATTCCCACTTTTTTCCACTCAGTTTTTAACTCAAAAGAAAGTCAGACAGACTCTCCTACTTCCAACAGTCCTGTTATTTCTGCAGAAAAAAAAACACTTCAAAAAGTCTGTCACTGTCTTCAACCTACAAACATGGGAGTGAGAAACATGCAGAGAACAAAATACTCTAGAAATGCTTTAAGGACCTAAATCAAGAACAGGCTCTCCACAGAGCAGACAAATGAAGGCTGGGGCACAAGCCTTCACTTCCAAGTTTTCTAGGGTTCTTATCCAAGATAAATACATTAATTTGTTCATAAATTCTGCAAGCATTATCATCTACACCAAAATCAATGTACTTTTATAGTAAATGTGGTGGGGGATCCATACAGGCTATGTTCTGAGTCATTTAGTAATAAGGAGGTTTTTTTTGTCGTTTTGAACAATCTTACTTAAACCAAGAAATTAAAAATGCTTTGTACCATTTTATTTAAAAAAAACATATTAAGCAATGAGAGATTTATTATGGAATGTGTTATGTTCACCCCTATAGTGAGCTGGATTATCAAACCTAGCATATACTATCCAGTATTAGATACCAGCTTCTTCTAAAGTAAACTTTACTTCAAAGCTTTCTGTTCCTTATTTTGAGTACAGGCAAAAGCTAACTCATCATATTTGACTGCACATAAATCAGAATTCAGCACGCTTCTTCTGTTAAAAGTCTGGTAGCACCTTTACTTGAAGTATCAGTAATATCTACAACTTCTTAGAAAAACTAGCATTTGAAAGTTTCTCTGCAGTTATGTATTTACAAATACTAAGGATTTATTAAATGACAGCTCTAGTCAGTGTTCACAACATTAGATTTTGTGTGTGGCTATTACTGCAGATACAAGAAACAGCAGCCCTCTTTATGTATCCAATATTTGAGAAAGTTAAATTGGGATGATTAAATCATTTGCTAGAGTCCTGAGACCCCAGAGGTTAATCCTGAAGATTTATCATACTGCAACTGATCTGTTTTGCCTACCTTTATTGCATTCTGCTGATTAGTGAGGAAGGCTGTGTGCATAGTCAAGTTGAATTGCGATATCAGAACTCCAGCTCTGTACTCAAATACAGCGTCTTTAAGTGGTAATTTTTGAATTGCCTCAGTTTCCATCAAAATCACATACATTCAGCTGCCCACCTGCTCAGGAACAAAAACTAAAGGGACTGGGCATTCAAGGAGTCAGTCTACAGCTAAACCATGATTACAGCAAGCTGCCAACTGCTTACCTGGGTACTGCATACCGTACTGTTGCTGAGGCTGAGCCTGTGGCTGCTGAGCAGGATAACCAGGCTGTTGGTACTGTTGATACATCTGGCCTATGGATTAAAAACTTGTTTAGCTGAAGCCCAAAACCTGAGCTGGAGTATAACCACTAAGATGATAGATAACATCCTAACAGACAGTTTAGATCACAGAAGCAATCCTTCCCACATCATGTTTAAAAAAAAAAACAAAACAAAAAAACCCCAACAACAACAATCTGAACACAGTTGAACACCCATTCGAACTTCCCTTAATTATCAACTGAAGTCGAGCTACCGTTTCTGAACCATGCCATTCTGAAGAGTAAGTGGTGATGCCTATTATTTCATATTTTCAGAGGAAGCCGTAAGCTATACACTAGAGAAGTGCTAACAAAGGTGTATAACACAGCAGACATCTTTAAATGTCTTGATAGCTGCTCCAGAACATATAATGTAAATTAAAGTACTTTGAAAGGTAAACATATCCTTGGCCTATCTGTTTATATTAGATTTTTAAGACTATTTCTGCCAAGTACTGTAAGCAGAGTGGTATATTATTTATTCTGAACACATTTTCCAGACAAGTCATCCCTTAATATCTGACTTGCTATAAGCCAAGTTTTCTTAAGAGACCCAGGCACATAAACCCTGAAGTAAAAAAATAAAACCATACATTCTTAAGGTTGGGTGTTCCAATTCAATGCTAATTTTCCTTAAATTCACTGTTTCCAATTTCTTGGCAAGAAGAGGCACAGTAATTGTTTAGACCTAACTCATGTGCGCTGTTTAGGCTTTATGCTTCCGCTATTTTTCATTTTACTAACGTGCATAGTCAAAGAACAAAATTACCTGCCAAACTAAAGTTTAGCTAAACTGGAGCAGACATGGAAACTTTACTAGTAAAGTGTTACTGTACCAATATTCCTTCTGCAAAGATCAGCGGTCTGTATAACTGCAAAGTTCCTGTATCTTCTGAATTGCACCCAGTGGCCAAGATAAGAGTAAAGCCGAGTTGCTTCTGATTAAGTCTGCTAATATCCCGGTGCATGCTGTTTTAAGAGAGCTCCTTATTTCCTTTTTTCTCTATTTATAGCTGAAAGCAACAGTACTTTGCATTCAAACTAAGATGTTCAGAATGTTTTATGCTGGTACAATCCCTTCTTCAAAATTGTTTATGCCATACAATTAATGTGGCATGAAAAGAGTGCTGAGCACAAGGTTTGGAAAAAAATTTAATCCTGTTAGCTTGATGATAACTGAGAATGAGAAATGGGGAAAAAAAAATTTTTTTAATTCCGTTGTATAAAGAAGTTCTGGGAGAAAAAACAGGAGACTGCCTATCTTGGAATTTACCTTTAGGCTAACATAGATACCACACTGGCATCTGCTGGATAGACTAGGTAAAGGGATATAAAGGAAACAACATTCCTGGCACTCCGTTTTTCTGAAGCTTTCTGAGAAGGCTTTGCTGTCTTAGGTAAGTCTTCTCTTCAATCCTGGTTAAGAGTAGAGAGGTATTCCAGCGCCACTCAAGAAAACATTTGTAATTTACAGAAATGAATGCATTCAGAGATCCTATTGGATCATAAAGGGTTTTTTTCTCTCACTAGATTTTAGTTTCAAAACAAAATAACCTACAGCACCAGTGTCTCGCTTTGTATTTAGCGGTGTGTATTTCAGTCAAGCATCTGGCAGCACTTACACAGTTCCTGTTTGCTCAGACAAGTTTTAGCTTGCTACAGAAGAAAGACGAATAGGCAAATACGCATATTGGCACAGCATTCTTTGCCCTGGGAGGTCATGAACTGCCTGAGCAGATGAACTCTGCATATACTTTAGCACAAGACTAAGAAAAAAAAGTGCCCACACCTGTACATAGTTGGTTCTGGTGCGCGTTCAGCTAGTGAATTTAGCGGTAAAAGAGCACATGCATGCCAGAAGAGACGGCGCTATTTTGAAAACTGCTGTGTGTGTTGCACTGATTTCAATGAAGCTAGTGCGTGTTTAAAACTTTTAACCAGGGGAAGACAAGTAATTCATTAATATCTGCCCAAAGACATCAAATGACTTGGTATTCCCAAGTAATGAATTGAGAAATAATGTCATTTCTTGGCAAAGAATTATATTAAAAAAAAAGAAACACTGATCTACCAGAATGATTGACTTTGGTGTTTTAATTATATCCCCTACATATAATTGAAGTCTGATTAGCACCAAATCTAAATAAACTAAAAGACTGAGGATGGCAGGATGTTTTTTTCCCCCTTTTTAAATAAATGAACTAATGATCTGAAACTGTTAAAAAAAAATCTCTGCACCAAAAGGGGCATTTACGTGAGCTGATCCTGTTGAATACTTAACCATCAAAAGGTAATTAAAGTTTTGGTTGGGTCAGGGCCCTGCACTGGTTCACAACTCGGCTGCACTAGTGCTTCCGGCAGTGCAGGAAGGGAGAGTGGACAGTAGGACACCACAGATACCCAAACTACCATCCAATTAAGGTGCTATCAAACAGGAAAGTACAGAAAGCTACTTCATGTTTCAAAGGAAGGACCCTGCACACCTTGGATAAAAGCAACTTAATTATGAAAAAAATTCAAAAGCCTGATACTCTATTAGCTAGTTAGTGATGGCTGCCATTTATCATGTGTGTACAATGGACAACGTTAAGCGTTCCCATTAGTATTTCTGATGAATGAAGTGCCATAATGACTTCTAATCTCTTCCTAGTAACTGAACCATCCTATTTTCTCCAGAGCAAAGCAAATATCATCCAGAGTACTTCAGTGGAAACAAAAACGGCACAAACTATGGACCAAAACATTTATAACCAGCACTACTGTACTTTTATATGCAGGAAAAAAAAAGGACTTAGGCAAAAGTATTCAGTGTAAAAAATGCATTGTACTTGCTTTCACCCAAGTTTAGAAAACTCATTAAATCTACTCTGATACGTTAGCTTAGGCAACTTCTGAGGTGAGTTTTGACGAAATAAGTCCTGTTAGTGACCTAGAAATCAGGCTGCAGTTTCACTGTTTTCTTTCTCACCACCAGGTACTTTTTCCTCTTCCTTGGTGCGAGATTCAGAATTCAACCTGCTGTTGCTAGTGTTTTTAAGTGTCTGACTTTATTGTTTCAGTTCTAGTTTAATATCAACACTTACAATCTCATACCTTATTTTATGTAATTAAGGAATAAAAAGGTAAACCAGCAAAAAGACAAGTTCAGTAGCTGGGAGAAAATATTCTGAGTGTTAAAGTTTTCTGGCTGCTGACAGAAAACCTGAAGCACTTTTCCAGTACTGCACATAATCAGGCACCAAACTTATTACAGCTTTAAGCAACACAGAAGACTCTTGTTTATATCATGTCAAAAATCCTTAGGCAATTAAGCCTTCTATCAAAAATTAAACAAACAAACAAAAAGCTAAAAGCTGCAAAACAAGTGTTTTTATATGCTCTGCTTCTACCAACAGCATTCATGCTTGCTTAAATATATGCCTAACAGCAAGTTGGTCAAATACATTGCTCAGTGAAAACGTTATTGATGACCTTTAGGCCTTCATATCTTTCCAAGATACTTCAAGTGATTGTGGATACTCTTACCACTATCATTAATATTTCTTACATTTATCTCAGCATTATATCAGTATAGGAAGCAGCAGAGGGTCATAATTTTTTTTTTTTTACATTAAAATACAGAAACAACTGTCATGTTGTACTTCATATGGAGGTAAAAATACAAAAGCAAGTTGTTCCACAGATTGAGTTTTGTCCAGACCTGTGCATGTCTGAAGGCTCAGTGCTTTCACAAACATCAATAGAAAGTGATGCCAGAATGTTACAAACCTCTAAAGAGGTTTATTTTTAAAAGTCAAATCACATGTGAAAGGGCACAGTACCAAGACATCTGAATCCTAGAGTCAATACCTTAAACTCTAAAGGAAGAGCTTAAGGCACTCAAAGTTATTTAGGAAAACTGTGATGTATACATGATGGTTATACTACAGCCTAGTTATGAGGTTTAACCTGGCTAGCACAGAACCATACATAATAAACAGTAAATAATATAATAGTAAATAGTAAACAGTTACTACAATAATGTCTCTGCTTTGCTGGATAGAAGTGGTGAGTATTCTTGAGCATTCTTAATTTATACTGAGCATTCTTAATTTATACTGACAAGCCAGCATTACTGATAAAACTGTTCATTAAGTGAAAGCAACTGCTTAAATATCACTTGACACCACATGCAGGGTATATGCTACAAACTAAGATTTTCAATCAGCTTTAAAGTGAAATGTATTATAAAAGCTCCTTTGCAGTAAAATGAGCATAGATGCAAACAGATAATACTACAGTGAAACTCCTTTTCAGGTTGTAGGACCTACCCTTTTACATAAAGCTACCACTCCACCTGCCGTTTATATATGGAATAGCATGAGAAAAAAATGCTTTTTGCAGCATTTGTAGTTTTGGAATCAACTTTCGGTCTACCATCTAGAAACCTTAACTAACAAATTCAGACTGAGCCAGCCTCATTCGTCTTAAAATAGCAGAAAAGCATGCTGCTCACCTTCCACCTGACCAGTCTGTGGCTGTGTTCCAGCATACGGTGGCTGTTGCGGCTGAACGCCGGGCGGATGGGCTGCAGAGGAAGAGGAAGCGATGCTATCTGGTGTTCCCGATCGCTCTTCTGCAGGGGCACTGGGTGGTCCTAGAGGAGCCAGGACAAAGTACATTAAGTGAAATGAACGGGGAATTTGAATAAGAAGCTTCATGCAAGATCATTTCCTTACAAAGTTTTTAACATAAGATATTTTTCCAGTTTTCCACAGCTTTAAATCTGAGCGCGTCAGGCCCAAAATAAGTATATCTGCAAATCTAAACTAGCCTGCCTTTGGAAGTAATTTCTGTGGCAATTTCCCACTCGTGCCTAGGTCAAAGTCACTCAGATCTAATTCTTCAGAGGGATGATCCATTTTGGGGATAGAACCCTCAGTAACAACATGGTCTTCCTGCAGCTTCGTGTTTTCACTTTGCACACATACGCTAAAAAGGCTTGCTACATTTGGACAGAGTATGCACCCACATACCTGTTCTTTCTCATCTGGAGCAAGCATGCCAGGCTGTATGAAATTATTCCAGCGCAGCAGCATTTTATTGTGGCCCGCACAGGCAATTAGTATTTTACCAGTAGTCACACAGCACATGCACACACCTCCAAAGAAATGTGTTACATTTGCACTCCCAGGGAGGATACAGTGGGCTACTGTCTAAAAACAATTGCTTTGATAATTCCAAAAAATGCTCCAGTTGCTGATTAGCATGCAGAGGAAAGGGATGAAAAGTTCTGAAATATCTATGTGAATAAGTACACTACACTACAATTCGATGAAGAACATTTTATTAGAAACAAGGAAGCTTACACCCAGATCTTTCCAGCTCTTAGGTATACAAGCACTACCTATATTTTCAAAGACACTAAACTACACGTGTAAAGTTCAGCACTTGTATTAACATTTCTACAAATTCTCTTTCAAGAAAATCGTATTTGCAAGACAAAACTTCTACCCTATGCATCCAATAATACAAGCATTTAATTGCACTTTCCTCCTCTCCTTATTAGGAGAGGAAATGCACCAAAGCTGCCTGTTTCACCTGTAACTGCACAACTCTGCAGCATTTTAGCTTTTGAAATGGGATTTCTCATCCCCTGTTTAAATAGTACTTTGTAAAGTTCTTTGTGCATTCAAAGCACGTTGAAGTGTAACACCACCGTACTTTTCAATATAGAAGAGAATGTCAGTTTGTGGAAACACACGTTACAGAGAAAGGTCATAAAAAGATTGGAGGATCTGTACAAATAGGTTTATTTTATATAGAGTCAAACGTAGTGTTAGGCTACTAGAACAACATACAACAAAACCCAGAAGTCCTCACAGCAAAATCAGTTTGCTCTATCAGAAGAGTTATGGAGACAGATCTTAAAGTATCACCGATGCTATGATCAAAGCATTCACTGACACTGAGGCTTTGTACCAGAAAAGAAAACCATTCCTTCGAAAAAATTAGCTCCAATTTTCAGCCAGTCCTACTTCATCATCTAGTGTACCATTTTATTGGTCAAAAGAAGTCTGTTTTAAGTTTTCAGGTACCAACTTTACCTGGTCTGTGAACTAACCATGCTGTGACAATACCTGAACCGACTCAGCGCAGGAAGAGATCACTCAATAGATCTCATCCGTTGCACAGTACCCGAAATGAAGATGCTGCTTAGTTTGCAGTTACAGCTTTGGCTCCTGCACAGTTGTTATCACACAGCGCAGACCTACTCGTACCACTCCACGCTTTTGCTAATTTAGACATACGGTACAAGCAAGCTCCAGTTGCCATTTGTTTGACCACCTGTATCATCACTACATAGACCGTATTAACCTTGGTCTAGAGTATGAGTATACACAGCACATCCTCTAAACTAATGCAGTTTTACTTTCAAGTATCAATACTATATTATATTAAACCTTGCCAGACCCAAGCACACACTGTGCAAAATCTCTTCTGTATATTCTGCATCATACTCCCTGTGTTCTTCAAGAACAAAACAATCCAGGCAACTAAATTATCACCTAATAACCCATTAAAAGAGAGAGACAGAGAGAGACAGAGAGAATATCATTTTTAACTTTAATTCTTTGTTAGCCGTAAGTAAATGTGACCAACGTATTTAACATCCGTCCTTCTCTGAAAAAAATTAGGAAAAAATCTCCTGCACAAATACTAAAACCAGGTATCTACATCTCCAAATAAATAAATAAAATAAAAGTGAGGTCTTTGTCATTTTGGCAATTTCATTCGAAGGACTAAAACTCACATTTCACTTCTACTCCTTCCCTGAACTGAAAACATGTAAAGGACAGGGCAGTTCCTATTCATAGCGTTTCATGTGATTATTCTGAATACAAGTGCAAAAGCAAAAATGCTAGGCTGATCTGGAAAGTTCCAATTTTATCACAAAAAAACCCTCAAAACAAAAACCATACAGAAGTTCCAAACTGGAAAACTGAAAGCTCAGTGCTATACTCTCTCCTCCCTCACTTTCCAATCAAGTGACCAGAAGTCAGAGCAGATGCTGGCTGCTCCAACACCCACTACCATCAGAGTTTTTTTCAGGTCAGGGCTGCAACTGTGAAGCAAGTCTGCACAGCACCCTCACTTGCTATATGCTTCAATTCACACAGGGGAACAGTCTCAGCGTGCACAAACTCCATCCTGTTGGATAAAACTGAACAGCAGGACACGTACCAAGACGCACATTTAACATGCTGCAAGTGCTAATAGGCTATACTCAGTCACCAGGACCAGATGAGAGCTAGCCCAAAGTAACCTTCCCCATGCAAAGCATGGATAGCATGGGCACCAGGCTATTAGTTGTACCATTCAGTTTCTTTTTTGTTGTTGTTTATGTAGACATAGCCATGGGATCAATCTCCAGTTTTTTTTTTTTTTTTTTTTTAAAAAAACTACACAGTGTAAGCATTTTGTACAAAGCTTGCCATCATGGAAGCTACGAAGTTTAAATGCCCAGAAAAAACACTGCAAAACAAGCAAGATATCTAGTCTAACATTTAAAAATACATCAGAGTTGGAAGATACCCTGTTATTCCAGGTAACGTTTGAGTTCATTGCAATGACACGTAACATGATTGAACCATCTCACATTCAAGGACAGTCAATGGTAACACTAGTCTACTAATATACTGATAGCTTGGAAGATGCCACCATCATAACAGAAGTTATTTGACATCTACTATTCTAGTAATAGCTTTCTAAAGAAATTTGAATCAAAAAGAACACTAAGCCATTTTCTACTCCAAGCACAGCTAAAACCAACAGCAGTATTTCAACGTTTTGTATGCGGAAGTTAGAAAATCCATTTACAACACTTCAATATATCAAGCTTTAGAATTCTGTAAAGGAACAGTGAATAGGAAACACGGCTTAATACATCCAAAACACAAACGCTTTGTACAAATTGAGTTTTTTAAAATGCTTGAGTGATCAATTACAAACAGGTTTCACATTCCTTTTCATAAGATGTATTCTTACCTGACACTTGATCATCTGTCAAGCCAAATGCTGACATGACATTCTTGCTGATTTCATCCTGATTTTTTAGCGGATCAAATGCAGACATGCTTGCTGCTATAACCTGAGTAGATGGCTTAACGGTAGAGTCAGCAGCAGCAGGCTTTTCTTCCCTACCATCTACTGCATCTAGAAAACAAAACGTCCCACTATTAATTCTTGAGAACGGACGACCCACCATAAGTATATATTGTATTACAGCACTTTAAACTTGCACACAGTTTCTTTAAACTCTGTATTTTAAGTGTTGCAAACGCACACGTTAGGATAATAGCAAATTTGATACCTCCAAATAGTATAACCTCCACAATTAGTCACAAAGCTTCAGTTTTAGTGCACATAGTTACTTAAAGATAAACTGACACTATGGAGTATTCATTCTTTCCTTTGTCTCAAGTTCAAAGGTACAAGGCTCCTGCTTCTCCCAATTGTTTTGGCATGGATTTTCTACAGAGAACTCAAAATTAAGAATGCTTACAGGATAGCTTCCAGTTTACTACTGTTTTGTCAACTGTAGTTTTCGTTTTGTTTTATCCCCCCTGCTCCATCCTGCCTAAGATGACAGGTGAAGTTCATCTCCTTGTGCTTATTGACAGGTGAAGTTCATCTCCTTGTGGCTTATAAAAATAACATTGCATCACGCAGAAACCCATCACCTAGTAACAGTGCTTCATTCGCACTTTCATGACAAACAAATGCACATAGTTTAAACTGGCTAGTCCTGCATCCAGTCTGAGATCATCATCCTAACCTCCTTCCAAAGGGTTACTAACCTAAATCCATGGTATTCCATGGGAATTAGTAACTACTTATATTGCAGTAACAGGGGATGGATTTTGGTTGGTTTTGTTGTTAAAAAAGCGTTAGGTGTGAAATACAAAGGCAGTGTTTCCTAGAAGAAAAACCGGAGCTCTTGGTTTGCCTTTTTACTCAGAGCGCTGTAGTCCGTGACTTACACACGTCGTTAATTTTCTGTGTCCAGCTTCCCCAAAATCTGTAATTAAGGATACGAACAAACGCAGAGGTATAGTTCTACAGAACAACAGCTGTAAGCGAGGAGCTCACTGTCAAAACAGGGAGAATGAGACTTCCTTCCCCATTTTGCCCTCCCCCTACAATACTTTCCACCCCTATCTGCACCCTTCTGCAGCTTACCCTTAAGACAGCTCTGATGCTGGTCTGATCAGAAAATGAGTAGATTCAGTTTCCTAACCTGGCAAAAAAAGTGAATATAATTTTGCTGAATTAGCTTTTTGCTATTCTAGTGAATCAAACTTGCTTAGCAACATGACAAGCACCAGAGCTGGCCCAAGTAAGCAGCGGGAGTGCTCAGCTGGGAGCAAAATCTCCCCTCTTCAGCAACGACAAGCTATTAATTCAGCTCAAGCCCTCTCAAAACTTTATCCTGACTCACAAGTGTTAGTTACAGCGCTTTGATGTTTTGCGACAGAAATCAAACTCTGGAGTTTTCTCTCTACGTTAACATGATGCTTTACTCCACACAGTCTGAACATAAGCTATTGAGGAACAATCAAGAATGATCACAATTAGTACTCAAGACTCCATTTTTCACTTTCGTTAAGCAGCACATAACTCTGCAAATCAAATACAACAATGCTGAGCCACACTGCCTACCGCTTTCAGGCAGATTAGCGGAAAGCCCTGGTTCTGCTGGCGGTTCTAAACAGTCCAGTAAACGATTGACTTTATTGCGAAGTTCTATCAGCTCTCGACGCAGATATTTCACTTGATTAGATTCTAGGGGTCTTGGTTGTCCATTAACTGCAAAAGAGCAATTAAATAAATTTAAGGTGGTAGTAATCTTCTGACATCCAGTTTAAGATTTGGGGTCGGGAGGGACACCTTTTTTTTTTTTTTTTTTTTTTTTTTTTTTTTAACAACTCGCTTGTATCTTCCTCTTCTGTGGAGGATTTAAAACAACATACATTGAATCAGCACAGACTAGGCTTATTCTAGAGCTTACTATTTATTTAATATAATTTCCGTTCACTATAATATATAGTACCAGAACTGGAGAGAAAGTTTTGCAGTAAATTTTTGCTCTGTGTACTTATTTCCACAAATCCACACTGAACACTACAAACATCATTTTTGGCGGAAATCTGTCCCTTTAGAAAGTGAACTAAAGAAAGCGGCATACACAGTCAACATTACAGCAATTTCTGAGTAAGGTCAGACTTCAGGAAGCAAAACAGCTTTAGTTTCTTTAAGTTCAGATGTCTCACAAAACAGCAAGAGGAAAAATAAATTTCATATATTAATGCAGTATTTTTAAACTTACTGATTTCATCCTTCTGAAGTGACCTAAACCGAAAGCTATTTATGGCATCCAGTGGAGCCCACCGCCTGAATTTATAAATAAAGGAGAGAGGTGAAAAAAAAAAATTTATACTTACCAAACAACGTCAGCTTAAGTATCCTACTGCATTGAATTGCAAAGGAAAGATCTGAGCTATCAAAAATTGTTATAAGATCTCCATCTGAAAAGAATGTGCAAAAAGTTATGTTAAGAGCAAAGCCTAATCACTACAGAATTTCATGCTAGGGCAGAAGGCTTACTTCATTACTAAAAATAACACTCCCTATTCGATTCTGAAGCTACTAGAAAAAAAACTTACCAATTAACACTTTCAAAAAATGGTACCATGCTTATTTTATATATTTATTTTTTTAATGAAAATTTTGAAAAGAGAATTAGAAAATGGGACTTTTTCTGTCATTATTAAGTAAGGCTTAGATCCTTATTTCCCTAAGGTATAATTGCTTAGAACCATAAACTGATTTAAAGCACGTGCAATAACTTGGATAGGACAATTACAAAATAAGGAACACTTACTAAGAAGTTAAGTTTTTTTTTTTAAAAAAAAACAATATAAGACAAAGCAACAAGTTAGACTTGTGCACATCACAGAAGAAAGTTTTATTATTAGTGTGACAGTGCAGCGAACTCATGCACAGAGGGCAAAACGGAAGTATGACTGGGCTCCAAAAAACATCCTTCTGACATTAGCCGTTTGAAAGAACGAGCAGTTCTATATAGGCTCATCTTTTTTTTTTTTTTTTCCATGTTTGCATATAGCATGAAACATTACAGCTAATAGTTCACAGGGGCCAACACCTGAAAGAACAATGCTGCCACTTAAAGTTGCATGCCCGTTTTGAGTGGTTCCAAGGCGGTACTCATCATGACTAGTTCTTAAAAACAGACAGCAGAATCAAGGCAGAAGTTGGCACAAGCAGACCCCAATTTAGTTTTTAAAAGCAAAACACACACACGCTCACAAGGAAAGAGGGCAAAAAGTTAAGTGACTAGAACACTTCCTCAGGTTGTATTCTGACCAATGACCTGCAAGGCTGATTTTCAACATGGGAATAATAATAATAAAGTACCTGTGGGAAAATTAATAGTCAAATTATCCCAGCTTTAACACACAAACAGGAATGAGAAGATACGAACATGTCAAATTAGTCAGAATAGAACTTTCCTCTCAATCGCGGAACCTGACATGAAGCTCACCTCATGGTCATTTATTTTCATGTGGCAGATTTCAGCAGTGAGGTGACTTACCGAATCTGTACATTGCCATCAGTCACAAGAACTATGTAAGAACTGTTTAGGATCCTTTAAGGCACAAAATGCTATGCCATAGAACACCAAACACCTTTTAGTCCTCTTAACACACAAAAGAGATACCAAACTCCCAGTTACCTTTCCTTTCAGAAATTTTAACTTTCAGAGGCCTTTCAGAATTTTTAACCCAACTCAAGACAGCAATCAATGACATCAATATCTTACTCAACAAAATCACCAATAAAAAAAAGACTCTATTCTTTGGCAGGATTCATTTCCTGCTAGTTTAAAAAAATTCAAAAGGCTTAATCAAGAGATTGCATGAACACAAATTAGCCAGCGCAAAGTAAAGGGTGGGAAAGTATAACCAGGAAAACGCGAGTATTGGCAGAGGGAAGGAGAAGGAATAGCAATAGCAGGGCTGCCTCCCTCTAGAACGTCTTATTGATGACTGGGAACTGAGATGAGACACTATCTAGTGAAGCTTCACCTCCAGAATCAACAGTGCTAAACAAAGGAGACACAGTTGCAAAGAAAGCAGAGGCCAACCTATTCATGCTTCCTCCCTAAAACACTGTTAAAAGCAGGGTCTGTGGACAAGCGTAAACTTTTTTTTAAAATTACAGATGACTGACTGGAAATTCTCAGCAATTTCATAGGCATCAGTGCTATGAAGATTCAACTGCATAAGAGTTATGGTCAAAATTTTCAAATAAATATGAACGCTTCATTATGAATAAACAGTCATAAAACACCTGGCTGCAAGTTGAAAAAAAGCTCAGAATTTGAAGACCTATGTATTCTAATTGTGTCATCCTCTGACAAGGAGCAACACCTCTCGACATTGGAAGGTGCTCCCACTTTAGCACGGTTAAGAACGACTAACAACACTGTCAGTCTTCAGAGAAGCTGCTTTCTAAAAAAGAAAAAGATAAAAATGAAGTCTTACAGATACCAGCAATCAGATGACATATTTCCCTCAGGAACATTTGAAAACTCTTTTATATTTTTGCCTCTAGAGATGGTTTTTTGGATCCTGTGTTCTTTTACACTTTCACAATCTCAAAAGTGTTACTTCTTGGCAGGAACCTCTGAAGGTCCTCTAGGCCCTACTCAAAGCAGGACTACTGCCAGGTAGTACTACTACATCAAGTCAATTGTGGCTTTGCTGCCGCGAGTCCAGAAAGCGGTTAAGAACGGATGCTCCGCAACCCCACTGAGCAACCAGTTCCAGCACCGCACTGCCCTCCTAGCCGAAACATTGTCCGAGTCTCTGGAGCTCCAATTTATGACTGCTGCCCCCTTCTGTTAGGGTCTGGCACTACTGAGAAGAGCTTGGCTCCACTTCAGTTCAGACAGCTGTAGGCCACTATTAGCTCTGCCCTCAGCCTCCTCTTCGCTATACTGAACAAGCCCAGCTCCCTCAACCTCTCCCTATAGAGCACCTGCCCTCAGCCCCTCACCACCACCGCCGCATCCTGCTTGATCCTCTCCAGTTTCTCAGAGTCTTTCCGTCCTGGGGGGCAGCGGGCAAAACTGACTATGGTGATCACAGTGGAGCCTCACCAGAGGAAGAGGAGTGCAATACCGTCCCTCGACCTGCTCACCGTTATGATCCATAGCAATATTTATACAATTATACCCTAGGCACATGAATTTATGAAAGTTGAAAAGTCCTTTGCCTTTGGCAGTAAAGCATCTTTTCTCCAAGTCAAACACTTTCGCTAGTTTTTCAGCATCCCTTCCTACAGTGGATTTTGGCATCAGTATGTAGTCTATCACAAAGCCCTTCTCCTGTTCCATATACTCCTGTTTATACAATAAATGATTATTACTTCTTTTGTGAACGCACAGCATTGCGCAAAGCATCTCAAAATGGTCTTTATCACATGAGTCAATACTCAGATTCACAGACTGAAAAAAGATGCACGTCCTGTGTAACCAAGTGAAAAGTTACACATTGTTTACATGCATTCAGGTCATCAAAAAGTACCCATATCATTCCATCTTATTCTCCCCACCTATTATTTTTAAACAACATTTATGTTGAATGCGGGTTTTATGAAAGACTACAGTTTTGCTTTTAAGCCGCTACAGGAACAGAAAACGGCTGAAAAGCACCAGCACCCACAAGCACAGAATCTTGCCAGAAACATAAAATCAGTTCTATTCCAACTGACAACTATCAAACTATTATCTAGGTAGCACATACAGTAGGATTCCTAAGATAGATAGATAGATATATGTGCATGTAAGTCAAGCCTGTATTTGTGTGTGTACATATATGACATAAGCCATAATAAAGCTGTGACAACAAAGCAAACCAACTTTTTCATTTTAAGGAGTGTCAGCGTAGCGTTATTCTTGTCACCAAGATACAGACAGGAATATACCATCTTAATTACATTCTGTTGCAACTTACAAGAGAGCTTCCTTTATTTTGCCTACAAATCATGCTATTTTGAGAGTATACCTTTCTCGTTTTTCAAGCAGCATAGCTTTGGCCCTCATTCAAGATTCCACAGTACACTAAAGACTTCCTGCTATGTCAACTATACTTGTTTACCTTTAGTACAGGCTAGCGTCTTCCAGTGGACTGGAAAGTGTTTTATCATTAATTCTGTATCATCATGGTGTATTCCCATTTTCATGGCATCACTAGAAATCTCTTTAAGATATTAGAAGTTTGCCTCATTATCCATGGCCCTGCCAGCTATGCTTCCTTTGCTAACTAAATTTACCTACCCTTACTATTTCTCTACATTTTTAAGTGTTGGTATAAATCAACATTTATTTTTCTTTTGTACTAATTGCTGCGTTAATCATTGAAGGAGGACAGACCACAGTCATTCTACTTACAAAAAAAATTGTAAAAACAACACATTTTTGACCAACTGAAGGAGCTCTGAGTTTGTATTCAATTTTTTTCTAATCAGTTTTTGCCAAAACATAAAAGTAGTTTTCCTTCATTTTGGTAAGCAGAGGAGGGAGGAAAAATATATTAAAAAATATCTATTAGACTCAAGGACTATAGCAGTTCGATGAAGATGTAACAAAACCACAACATTTTGTGGAACTTTTAAGTAGAAAATCCCATATCCAGGCTGGAAGATCACTAGCTTCAGATGTCACAGCAACAAGAAACAAAGCCCAAAAGCACAGATAAAGCATTCCTCTGAACAGTCAAAAGAGTATGCCTATGAATTCTGAGAGTACCCAGATTAGTAATATTAGGTTAGTAAAAGCAGAGGAGGTCCTTAGACTAACTGAAAACAAATTTGCTCATTAAAAAGGAAGACAACTGTTCCTCCAGCTTTGGAGAGGTACATAATGAAGCTGAAATAGCTAAAAAGTACATATTCCAATGTTTCGAATGACTGAAACAGATTTAAAAAAGAATCTTAGTATAGCTGAAGCCAAGTCAAGACTACTAGGACCCCCATATGACAATCTTAAACTGAGGCCCAGCTTTGTTAATTTTTTCCCCTTAATCACTTGCAACTTCCTCTGATATTACTATGGTTTAAATATTCTTAGTAATGGCCACCATCTAGGATATCATATAAAGAAATTCCAAGTCACAGTGGAAAAGCAGTATATCCTGAACCACAGAAAGCTAGCATTAAAAGTAGGAGGACTCTGGGCTGTGAAAAACAATCAAAGGATGAGACCACAATTACAGTCTCCACCACACACCATCCTCTTCAAAAGAGAGAACAAAGACAAGGACCAAAAAACCCAGAACACCACAGAAACAGAGAACTATACTTAAAGCAAAAGTAAGAATGCAAAAAAAAAAAAAAAAAGGGGGGGGGGGCTAGAATTTTGACATAATGAGAAAGCACTCAATTTCCTTTTATCTTTCCCATTCTAAAATGGAAACAAAAATTGATTTTGCTATAAAAGCAAAAACATAGCAACCATCACAAATCCCCTGAATTCTGTTCTGTTAGACACCAAGACCCAAAAAGATGGCCCTTAGTTTCCTCACAGTTTTGATGAGAAGTAATGTCTTGAAAAGCTCTGTGAACCTGAATAACAATCCAGGTCATTCAAAGTGAAGTTTTCTTTCCCAGATGTTATTTGACGTTTCAGGTACCATAGGCAGATCTAAAGTTTCCTACTCCTATAGTTAAGGAAAATTAACCTGAATGTTTCAGTAATGTAGCACTTTCACACGGTTCTGATATGAGCAAGAGACTTTGGATTTCATCACTCTGAATTTCATACTTGTACATATGAATTCCAGCCCTCTCCCCCAAATTAGGTAACTTTTCCATGCCCCATACTGACACTCAAAGAATAAGAAAAGCCTGATTACCCCAACTCTCATTCCACGCATCTCAAACAAGGCCCTTCTTAATCAGTCTGTCAAAGATTCCTTCTAGAAGTTGCATTTGTTTAGCACTAACAATTGTGACTTTCTTTGAAACATAAGTTATGGTATAAGCAATTTCCAACAGATTCAAACCACCACATAGGGGAAAAATTATTTTTAATAAATACTTCAGGTTAAGTCAAAGGTTTGTTCTCATCTTTACTGATGGAGGAAAAAGTACTCAAGAATTTCCACTACAAAAATTAAGTTTTCAAAGCCTTTTAAGAGTTTGTGTTAAATCGTACATATTAATTCAGCTCTTTCCTCCAATCACACTTTATCACTGACAACAGAAAGAAGTGGTTAAATGAGTGGACAGCAAAGAAACCTGCAATAGCATCAGCTTTCTGCAACAACAAAAAGTGAACTTTGAGACAGCTGTTATTTCAGAAACACTAGAGTGTACACTACCAGCACAAGCACAAGAAACACAGCTTTTATTGACTGACTGACTCTCAGAAATGGTTTTCATTTGCAAACAGTGTTTTAGATAATTTAGGAGATAATTTTGTTGTTTTTGTCCTTAGAAAAATAATCTCAGAGCAACACTAATTATTAAACCTTACCTTCATCTTTATATTTTATTGTGACTTCATCATTGCTCAGAAGTTTTCCTCTAAAAACTCTTTGCATCATTAGCACTAATTCATCATAGGTGATGTCCTCATTATGAATAGGAATTCTCCTAATATCTTCCCCAAGCTGAGCTTTGATGATCAGCTTCCCACTTAAGTCCAGCTGCCCATTCATGGTGGACTCCTGATCTCCTAGACACCTGTTAAAAACAAAGCATTAAAACCATTTCAGAACACTGGACTGCTAATTATTTAAATCTGTTTGATGACAGTTCTGAAACTTTCAATCTTTTGAAAGCATTACCGTCAGAAAGCGCTCCAGAGAAGCTTTCTTGGACACATCTACGATGTACTAACTTCTCAAATGATAAAATGGCCAATATATTAACCAAGCTCATGGGCAAAACAGAACTCTGCACGATCAGACACTCAAAACAAACAGTTATGACTGTTCTCAGTGCTCTAAATTTAAATCCAAAGACCTTTAAGAAGTCAGACAGCTTTTCAATGTGACATTTAGGAATTCCAACCCTGTTTTTTGGTAACATATCTACCTATAAATTGTCATGGAAAAAGTTACGCAGGAAGTAATACTCCTTCAGATTTACTGTTGAAATACACGTATACATCTCTCAAGGAAAGTGCAATGCAGCAAAAGCTCAGCCTTATAACATTATTACCTAATTAATTATAACATTATTACCTAATTAAATCATTTTTACCTCCCCCATAATTGTGATATCCAGCAAAGGGCTGTTTGTTTGTTTGAAGACTGTAAGAACAAAAGAACTAAAAATCTCAAAGATTATAGATAGTAAGGTGGTTTTATTACAGGGAGCAAGTTGAAAAAGGCACCACTCTAGACACAAATGAAAGGGGAAAAATGGAAAAACTGAGCATTGGTTTTATTATGTGCATGGTGAGAATACATTGAAAGTTTCTCTCTAGAAAGCAAGCCAGGAAGTTTGCCCTGGTTTTTAGACTTTTGCCAAGATTTTACATTTAAAAGAGCTACTCATTAGGCCACACAACAGTTTGTTTTGCGATTCCAAATTAACGTTCCTAATCCTATTGAAAAATTCAGTACAGCATACAGGTAGTTTACTGCGCAGCACAGCATGGTCCTAATCAAAAGCTATAATCTACACAAAGGTCTGTACTATGACTTCAGTTAGTTTCCCAAATCAAGATTACATCTGACTATGGAAGGAAGCCAGTCAGCCAGAGGCTACCAGAAGCATCAGCAGCCACACTCATTGGTATACAGCACTGTTTCCCCTCTGCGCGTCCAGAACACAACTGCCTTTAGCTGCCCGAGGCACACAGTATGTGTCTTGTGGCTCACAGCCACAAGGGCATTATGCAAAATACCAGGTCAGGGCAGTCGGTCACTCTCCAGTGGACAACCCCTCCAACTTACAAGATGTGCAACAAAGTCATCTTCTGTTCAAGAACCACACAACATATACTTCACACTTCATAAATGACAACTAAAGAATTACCACTTTGTGCCAGGCAGGTATTATGTTGAAAACACAGAAGTCTATTACTTACAAATAAAAAGAGAAACTACAGAGAAGTTACTCCGGGGAGTAATGAAAAAAAATCTAGATAGCTTGTCAGTCTTTCTCCTTTCGTCACTGTTTTGGACAGAGCCAAAACAATGAACCTGGAATGAGAAGGAATTAAAGAGGCAGGTATCTTAATATCTGAAGTACAAATGTTGGAGAGCTTAGAGGTAGCAAGCCTTACATACCAAAACCGGAACTCCCAAAAAGGTATGCAGGCAAGCGAGCTGTCCTTTCTCTTTTGCAAAAAATTAAAAAAAAAAAAAAATCTTGGTAGAGATATGAAGATATTTGTCCCTTACCTTTAAGAAGGTTATAACATGGAGCCTTGTGAGAAAACTGAATTTTGCTTTGGTTAGTCAATTTTTAAAATACCCTATTGAAAATGACTTCTCTCCTACCAGAGAAACAAGCTGCTCAGCTAAAGCCTTTAACACATCATATCTTGATGCATCTCTACATATTTAGCTCTACTGTTTCAACAATGATATTATGTATTAAAAAGACGTAGTATGATGCTTTCTCTAGATCACAACTCAATTTCTGTTTTTCTGTAATTAACTTGATATAAATTGGCAAATGTTTCATGCAAATCCATGTGTTTGGCCCTATGACCTTCCAAAAAAAAAAAAAAAAAAAAATCTATCGAGCAAAATTCATTTTCCTTATCAGACATAACAGTAAGTAGGTGAATACAGAGAAATTCAATTCAACTGCAGAGAAAATGGACCTGTAATTAACACAGCCAGGTTGCCACTGAGACACTCTGAGGAAGCACAGTGAAGTTCATAATGTTGTTAATACATTATTCATGTTACGCAACATAGTAGTCTAGACTGCAGGCACATCAACTCAGTCTAATTAGCACTTTGTTTCAGTAGAAGTTGCTTGTAAAAACACAGCTATTTGCAGAAGGCATTGAAAAATATTTTTAAGCACCAAAAAAATTGAGTAGTATCCAAAGGTCTTCTTTCACCTCCTTTTCACAAACATATGTTTGTCATTACCTTGTTTGTCTCACTGATGCTGGATTTTTGGTCAAATTTTCCACCTCACTTCAGGACAGATTTAGGATAAGCCGCCATGCACTATCAATGGCAGAAAACAGGAAGCTGTACCAGAAAAATGAAAAAAATATTCATTTGCTCTCAAGACTTCCTTTGAGGTATATAGTTCATATTGATCTTTCACCTTAAAATATCTTAATAAATACATTAAATTTAAAGTCACTATTTTATCCTTAAGACAACTATCAGAGATTTATACCTTGAGTATCACGGAGTTCAAAGTTTAACTAAAACAGATCCCGAACAAGAGTTTTAATTTCAAAATAAAAGAGCTTTTGATTTTTTTTCCTAAACTGTGTAATTGTGTGTAGGAATTGTTAACGGTAACACACTCCTTTCCAGGAGAGTGATCTCCCCCAAAAGTCTTAAAATATCCATTTGTATGGCCCTCCATCTTAACTACCCAGGTTAAGTTAAAGAAAATAAATCCAGATTGATTTTGCAGTATCAAAAGAGAAGCACATTTCCCCGTTTAAAGCTGAAGTCTCCATGACATGAATTGGTGTCTTTCAAGGCAGCAGCAGAGCCAGACTATCAGCAGTAAAGGAGCAGTAATGCCACTTTTTCACAGACACAAACACCGAACTGCGCAGGAAGAACAGACCAGAGTCAAAAATACACAGCCACTTAAAAATATGATCTGCCATCAATTCATCTTGAGATTCAGCTTTTGCTGCTAAAAAGCCGATATGATGATCCGTCTGAAGTTTAAGCAATCCACCTGTTTTTTCTGCATATGCTTATCGTCCAGAGCTACAAGACAATGATTTAGCATACAGATCAACCCAATGTCAAACAAAACTCTGCTCCTCCCTCCTGATAGGCATACTCTACCCAGCACTTTTTTTTTTTTTTCTTAAATCTTTCCTTCTTGTCTCTCTCTGACACACACACGGTTATCTCAACATCCATGGTCAGATTTTTGATGATTTGCTGCTAACCAAAGGAAAAACTAGCTTCCTCTCACCCACGTGAAACTGGAATTCTCTAATGTAGCCAACTCCCCTCTTTTGACCCAGCTTAGTAAACTGGAATGGACAGGCATGAGGAATACAGGACTGAAGCAGAGAACAAGAGAGCTCTGAAGAATGAAGAAAGCCCCTCCCTACTTCTCATAGGTCAGCAGCTGCTCCCCTCATCCTGGGTACGCCCTAATATCCACCTTTAAAAAGGGCTGTGCTCACTCCTGACAGGGAGAGGGGTTAAGACTGCTCTGACATAGTAAGCAGGTGAAAGGGAAGAGATGAGAGTACTTTACTGTTTCCTCACTCACATTTTATGAAACAAACAGGACATGGAGATGGTGCCCCTCTCGCCCTGATCTTGCTACAATTCCAGGTACAATTTACTGCAATGAACAAATAAAGGATACAGATCATACATCTAAAAGTGGTTAATTTAGCTTGCATCTTGTGTTGTTTAAGCATTATAGCTGAGCAGTGTTTTTGCTTCTTTAATATTATAATGTAATTTACTCAGAAACAGACAATAGTAAAAACAGAATCTCATCAGTACTTCTTAACAACACTGATTTTGGTGGGCATACTTGAGCTACTGTGGTCTTTCAACAGATGGAATGCACGTTCACACTTTGTGCAAGAGAGCCAGCAATTACATTGTCTTATTTGCCTCTATCATTCACCGAAATCCACTTTGTGTCTACAAAGAATAAGGACAAAGTAACAGAAAAGCACCTAGGCATACTTATTTTGTCAAACTGTTCTCCATTCTGCTTGAAAGTGTCTAGGTTTCAAGAGACAGATTCTAAACACTGCATCTGCTTGCGAACATTACAGAAAACGATGTGAAATCTTTGAATCATTAGATCATATAGCATTTAAGTTTTTCTTTCCTCACTGAGCATGACACAGCTGAACGCATGACTTGCTGAAGAAAATGCTTAGTTTTCCAAAGAAGACACCCAGAACGTACACTGATGGAATAAATCTGTGTCTTCTTTCCAAGGAAAAAAGAAAACCTTCACTGTCTTCCTGTTTAAGACAGACCATTTTTTTGTAAAAATCTCACTGATATCTTCTATGCTTCCTCATGTACTAAAAACTCACTGATATCTTCTATGCTTCCTCAAGTACTATGTGCATTTTAGAGGCCCAGATGCCCCCTCCCCCCCCCCAGCCCTGTTTCTGTTCACATCATGCACCAAGGTCCTATCTAAATTACTGACTCAGGACCACTCCTAAAGCAATGATGTCATAACCCTTTTTGATTTCACTACCCTTTTCCAGAAACAGAGCCTTGCCTAAGCAAAGGCAGAACCGGCATTCCCACTCTGTCAAAAGAGAGATGAGGGACAACAGGGGGAGCCGTACAGAAACAGGGCCAAGCATCGCTGCTCCCCAAGCCCCCCTCGACAGAGCCGTGAGAGCCTTTCCAAGAGAGCTAAGATGGGGGCAGAGAAGACAAGAGCTCCTTTCGCTATTTTTTTTTTTTCCTCCCTGCTCCAGTAAGGACAGGCCCGATGCAACGAAGAGCACAAACCGTGGCCATTCGCTGCCGGGGGAGGAAGCTGCAGTTTCCCAAGGAAAAGAGGCCTGACGGGCAGGCGAGGTGCGAGGCAGAGGGGTGCTCCGCTAGCCCTCAGCCCCCGACTGCCC